AAAAATTTAGGGACTGACAATCAAAAATTTCAATCTATAGGTTAAATTTGTAGCATAGTGGCAAGTGCCTGTCTTTGTAATCACAATCATATTATGATTGATATATTGATATATTAATGATTTAGTATGAATATTGATATATGATGAGTAGTTACACATCTTTTGCCATCTACAATGAAATAGTTTCATTAAAAAAAAAAAAAACACTTTGCTTGTTAACTGCACATAATTTATAGTAATTGCAAAAAATGGAAAATGAAATTTCTTATATATCCTAATGTTTCAAGGGCTTCTGAACATTTTGGCGTATCTTAGAAAATATGTATGTATGTGAGTGTGCGGATACAAATTTTCGTCGACAATTTCGTGAGCATATGAATATTTTGTTTTTTGAATCGTCTTTTTGATAATTGCTTAAAAAACATTCATAATATACAAAAAATCCAATTTCTCGAAAAAGGTCAATATTTTTCAAATACATATTTAATCTGTCCAAAATTTTCAAAATTCTTTAAAGATATTTCAAAAAGTTTCAGCAATTTGCTTTGAGGCACTATGCCATGGCACCACTAGTTTTTGAGATAAAGATGGTGGATCTTTTTACCTATGGACCTTTAAGCCCTGCTCTAGCCTATGACACAGGACAGAATACATAGATGGTAGACAAAAGTTATTTATGAAATTTATTTGAAAAATTGTATAACATATTGATAATAATAATTGTCGAGACTCAGTTTTCTTAAGCTTCCTGGTGAGATCAAAATGTACAGTTAAATGTATCCGCGTTTTTCCAATAATATCTAAATAAATAATTTACCATAAGCGGTTATCAAATCTATATGTAGCTCGTGATGTGATGTATCAGGTGATCTCGATTATCTTCTGCGCGGAAACAGAGCAAAACATTATCATCGCCGTAGCTGGAGATGGAGATGAAGCTGGAGCCGAGCCGTGCCGGATGCACGGCCAGTATTAAATAATCGAGCGGTCCCGAACAAGAAAAGGTTAATAAGCGATAAACGGCCAAGAAATCTGCGGGCAAGAAAAATAAAAACCGGAAACAAACATGAGAGGATATCTCGGAAAGATACGGAACGAAAGCTTATAATGTTTCTGCAATCGTAAAGCAAAGACCTTGAGTAGAATCCGCAATAAAAATGGTCTCAAATTAAGTATTTTCCACAAGGAAAGAAGCACATTTGATGAGAGTCAAGTGCTTTATTGCATGTACGTTATAATTGGTGATACCACTCACTACAAGAAAAACAAACCTTTGTATTCAATATTTTTAATGAAATGATCAATGTTATGTAATCACGCAATCCCAGGTTCAAAGCCGCGTTTAGAAAACTAATATCAAACGGTAGCAGTATCCACTAGGGTTTATACAAAACCAACATTTCAGAAAACCGGTATTCGAATTGTAAATTTCCCAGAAAACCGGTTTCGGCCGATTTTCGAATTTTATATATAAAATCAAATTTTGCTCGTATATTCTGTAATAACAAAGAAAAGTTATCGGTATTTATTTAATGATCAATTTTATAAATAGTAAACAAATTTATTTTGGGGTCGCCCGTATGTAAGCGGTTAAGAGCGACGGGACTTGTTTCAGAGGTCCCGGGTTCTATACCCACTTCGAGCAGCCTGTTGTCAGACAGTAGTGACAACGATTTTCAGTTGGAAATATAGATAGCAATATGTTTGCAAGTGAAAATAGCCCTCATCCGGCATTGCTGCACCATTAAAAATACTTGCCCTTTTACAGAAATTGTAATAATAATCTATAATACAGAGATGTGACAGCTGATTGGGTTGCCATCTGTCAAACAGACTAGTATTATGTCAAAATCAGCACAACAGCTTATAGGACACCTAGTGGGTTCTGATTGCTGTTCAAAAATAATTAAAAAAACTAGCTGTAAGTGGAATTCTGTCTTAAGGCAATTAAGGCATCGTGCCTTAAGGCAAATTGCTGGAACTTCCCGTACCAAAAATTATTATTTTAAAAACGATTAACATTTTTGAAAAAATTTTACTTCGAAAAAATTAGAGAGAAACTATAAATTTGACAAAAAATTACTTTTTTTGAAAAAAAAATTTTTTTTTGAAAACAAAATTTTTTTGAAAAAAAAATGTTTTTTTCATTTTGACATACTTTGGAAATTCTGAACTGTTTTTCAAAGCAATCGTACTGCTTTATCTGCATAGAGACAAAATGTCAAAGCGCGCAACTGCCGCGCCGCCGTCTAACGGATAAGCATTGGTACGGAACCCATAAAAATATAGAAAAAAATTATACTTATTGTTAAAATCTTTATAAAATATCTGATAATTTGATGTGCATATGTCTAATGATCATTTTTGACCGCCAAATGGCATTTTTTTTTTTTATCATTAGATCTCCGAAACCGCTAGACCTGCCTTCATGAAAATTTGATCAATTTTTCATCTTTTCAATACAAGTAAAATGTTTTTTGAATTATTAAAATCGGACGCTCCGTTCTCTTAAAACTGAGTTACCGTTTTCGGCACTTTTTGCCCCGTATCTTTGGAACGGCTGGACCTGCCTTTGCCAAAAACTAATCAGCACGTCTCCTTATCAATACGAATCGAATGCTTTTTGAATTATTCAAATCGGTTGATTCGTGTTCCCGAAATCGTCGACGAAAATTTGTATCCGCACATACATACTGGTCAGAATATATTCTGACGGCTAAACATTTTCAGTGCAGCGTGCCTTGGCACCGGGTATTGTGTTACAATTCTTAGAATTACGCAGCCTCTGGCCTGTGTCCTTCGCCCTTGTACATTTTTATACCTAAATACTTCCTGTATGAACACTGTACCCAGTAATTTTAAGTTAGTCTAGACAACGCAGCGGAACAGTCGACAAGTATATATTCAATCACCGCTGTATTTGTAATAGTTTGAAGATATTAATATAGATTTATACCGATCACAGTGGTTTTATTCAGTAATATTCAAATTTGGAACGGTTATCGTCAGATAACAATTATTTACTTACAGTCCGCTTTATTATTAATTACTGATGGTAGCCAGCCCAACCATTGGTCATCTTCGAGCCGTATATTAAGTTTGTTATAAATACAACTAGTGCCCGGTTAGTACTTTATATAGTGAATACCGGTTAATTAATAGAACTTTGTACGGATTATTTACTGGCATAAATTCTGTGTTTGTGTTAAATTTTGATTGGTGGTGTGTTATGAGCACGTAGTTTGCACGTATCGCGATAAACTGTGATAAAATTTAATAAGTGCAAGTGTTTTCCCGCCAATTGATTCTACGTGTTGTTTTGTGATCTAATATCCGAGACGGTGGTGCATTTTTTGAAACCAGAGAGCTGACTTCAATCTTTTGGTGTTTTATCTGAAGCAGCTTATATTTTCCTGGACATCCGGCACACCAGATCAATTTTCTGATAGATCAGCAACTGAAATTATCTTCGATTAATATTGAGACTCAATATTTTGGTAACTTGGTATTTGCATCCAGAGTGCTGAATTCATCTCTTTAGAAAGGAACCAGCTCATACTTTCCTGGACAGCGTGTTAACCAGGCCAACCCAATACCAGAAACATTCAGCTAAATCCAGAGTGCTGACTTTGAGGATCTTACTGAAGAGCAGCTCATACTTTCCTGGACCAATTTCACGACTACGGTTGTAATAGTTGTTTATTTATCTTATATTTACTTTACTGATTATTATTTGTTATTGTCATTTTTAACTAATACTTGTTCGTAAAGGTTTTGTATTTATCATAAGTTAAGCGTTACTCAATTTTAAATTACTTATTACTATTCTTCGAATGTCATTTAATTGAATAATATAAGCATTAACATTCAGTAGTAACTATATTGATGAATTTGTAACAGTTAACGCGTCAGGTATTAGATATTTTGTTTAACAAAGTATTCAATTATTCTAAATTATAATCAGTCAGATTTTTAAATAAGCTAAAATGGCTGAAGTGAAAAAACTATTAAGAAAATGCGCATACATTAAATCAATCTTCGAAAAATTAGTGAATACCGATTTTATTGATGAACCAATTAACATGTTAGAAAATGTAAAAAAACGTCTCGATACCAAATATTTAGAATTCGAGAAAATATTAGAGGAATTAGGTTACTCGGATGATTATTCAGATGAGACGTCAGTGATTCAAACTTTATATGAAACCGTATCGTACAAAATTGACAGATTAATAGCGGAATCATCTAATGCAGCAAAATTTAAAGTATCTCCCGAAGCGCAAATAAAACTGCCCAATATACATATCCCGCAATTTAACGGCTCTTATAAAGATTGGACGGGATTTAAGGACTTATTTGTATCGACAATTAATGACAATAAATCATTAACCGATGTTCAAAAATTTTATTATTTAAAGGGACATCTTATCGGGGATGCCGCTGAGGCTATTAATAATTTGCAACTAAGCGACGCTAATTACAAAGTAGCGTGGGATACATTAACTAGTAAATTTGAAAACAAATGTGTCATAACTTATACATTTTTACAACAATTTATTGATATTCCAAAACTGTTAAAAATAACTCAAGACACTTTAAAGACCTTCATTAATTCCGCTCAACAAATTATTAATTCCCTTAAGGCTTTGGACATTGGTGTCGATAATTGGGATACCTTACTTACATTTTTGCTATTAAATAAACTGGATTTCTCTATGCGACTTAAATTTAATTCTAATAGAGCGCACAAAAATCTGCCGACGCTAACCGAATTATTTACCTTTCTTGAACAAAGTCGGGCGGCATTAGAAATTTCTTACGGTCTTGAATCGGAAGCGAGTAATAAAAATATAATTGTAAAAAAGCGCACATTTTTTTCTAAAGAAGAAATTAGTTCTAAATCATGTCCGTTATGTAAGGATAATCATGTCATTAATAATTGTGCAAAATTTTTAAGTATGACGGTAGACGACAGATTAATATTTATATCGCAAAACAATATGTGTACAAATTGTCTCCGAAAGGGACACATTCAGAAAAGGTGTTTCGTGCGGTTTCATTGTAAAAATTGCCCCAAACGTCATAACACTCTATTACATTCGGAGAAAGAAAATGAACCTAGCGACACATCTAATGTAGATAAACCTGGAACTTCGACTGCTACAGCATCGCATGTTATGCACACCAACATAGATTTTAATTGCACTATTTTGCCTACTGTTACTTTAATTATCCGAGATGTAAACAACAAACCTCTTAGAATACGAGCCTTATTAGATTCGGGTTCAGAAGTTAGTATCATAACGAAAAATCTTGCTAATAAACTCGGTTTTAAATTACATAGCTCAAATTTACTTTTAAGTGGCGTTGACGGCGCATCAGTTCGATCCAGTAATTTTATTTATTGCACAATTTCAAATAGTAGTGGCAGTTTTCAGAAAAAATCAAAATTCGTCGTCTTAAATAAAATATCAAATTATTTGCCGTCACAGTACATAGAGAAATCTAGTTTTTCCTTACCAAAAAATGTATATTTGTCAGATCAAAATTTTAATAAGCCAGACGAAGTTGAGTTGTTAATCGGTGTCGACATATTTTTTGAAATTCTTTTAAATGAGAAAATTCTGCTTGGAAAGGATAAACCAGTGTTACAAAATACAGTTTTTGGTTGGGTTGTAGCTGGTAACTTCGGAAATAATTCTAGTCCTGTTGATAACTTAACGGCTTCCATTAATCACGTCCAGCTAGCAAGCTCTATAGCAAGGTTTTGGGAAATCGATGAGATAAATGACAGTTATTCGGTATCAAGCGACGATGAAATTTGCGAGCGTCATTTTTTGGAAAATGTTTCTAGAGATATTGATGGAAGTTATGTGGTTGCTTTGCCTTTAAAGCCCAGTGCTGATGTAAATCTTGGCTTATCATTACAACAAGCTAAACGTCGCTTTTTGCATTTAGAAGCTCGCTTCAAAAGAAATACTATTTTAAAAAAACAGTACTCTGACTTTATCAACGAATATATCGCATTAGGTCACGCAGCTGTAACAAACTTTGATCACTCCGGTATGCATTATTATCTACCACACCATGCGGTATTTAAAAAAGATTCTGACCAGATCCGCGTAGTTTTCGATGCTTCTGCTGTAACTTCAACCGGAAATTCTTTAAATGACGTACTTTATACGGGTCCAAAGTTGCAGCAAAGTATTTTCGAGATTTTGATAAAATTTAGATGTTACAAATTCGTGTTCACAGCTGATATAGTTAAAATGTTTCGCCAAATTCGAGTTAGAAAAGAAGACCAAGATTTACAACGCATATTGTGGCGCGAAGGTCCAAACGAAACTTTAAAGTGTTTGAAATTAACAACTGTCACATATGGAACTGCATGCGCTCCATACTTGGCAATACGGTGCTTGCACAAACTAATCAGCGATGAAGGTTCGGCTTATCCACTTGCTTGCGCAGCGCTGCGTAACGATTGTTACGTGGACGATTTAATAACGGGTTCCGAAACTTTAGAGCAATCGGTCAGATTAAGGGACGAATTAATAGCATTGTTTTCCAAAGCAAATATGTCTCTCCATAAATGGGCTGCAAATGATGATAAAATTTTAAAATTTACATCGTTGGAAAATGAGCATTCTGAAATGTTTGATATAACGGATGATAAGTCTTCCGTAAAGGCATTGGGACTTTGTTGGAACCGCGTTTCAGATTCATTCGAAATCCGTACCAATGGAATTATTATCGAAACAAAATTAACCAAACGAAAAATTTTATCATCAATTGCAAAAATTTTTGACCCACTTGGTTTGATTTCTCCTTTTGTGGTAATTGCCAAAATAATGATGCAAGATTTATGGCAATTGAAAATTAGTTGGGACGATTTAATCACAGACAAGTCAATACTTACTCGTTGGACGCAATTTGTAAGCGATATTACTATTCTAAATGACATAAAAATACCACGTCCTTTATTTTTACGAAGCGAAATTTGTCACTTACAATTACATGGTTTTTGTGATGCTTCGATAAAGGCATATGGCGCTTGCATATATGTGCGCACAGTATATCAAAATCAACATACTTCTGTCAATTTACTATGTTCCAAATCTCGAGTCGCACCGATCAAACATGTTACACTTCCCCGTCTTGAACTTTGCTCTACACTATTATTAGTTAGGTTATATAATTCTATATGCAAGATTTTTAAACATAGGGTTCATGACATATTTTTCTGGAGTGATTCAAGTATTGCACTCACTTGGATTAATACTTCCCCATCAAAACTTAAGTCTTTTGTTGCAAATAGGGTTTCCGAAATACAAAATTGTACAAATGTAACTTGGCGACATGTTCCATCGGCCTATAATCCTGCTGACCTTATTTCACGCGGCGTCACTGGTGTTAAACTACGCGATTGCCACCTTTGGTGGTGTGGACCTCAGTGGTTAAAATCAAATATAAATTTTTGGCCAGAAATATTTAACGTTAATGAAACTGTCAATTTGCCTGAGCAGGAACTTATTCGTAATACCCTTTTGTGCACTCCTTTATTAAACGAAATCTTCACAAAATTCTCTAATTTTAATAAATTACAGCGTGTTGTTGCTTTTTGTTTAAGATTCATTAATAATAGTAAGATATCTCGCATACAAAGAATGGTCGGACCACTAACAATTGAAGAATTAAATTTCGTTTCAAATCAACAAAGAATGGCCGGACCACTCACAATTGAAGAATTAAATTTCGCTTCAAATCAAATTATTCGCAAAATCCAATTAGAAAATTTCAAAACGCTGATAGATAAACTCCAGAACAGAGTCCTAAACGTGTCGATTGACAAGCATTTACTTGAGCTCAATCCTTTTCTTGATGAGCAAAATATTTTACGAGTGGGCGGGCGACTGGAGAAGGCAAATATATCATATGATCAAAAATTCCCCATCATACTTCCCGCAAAAAATCACGTGACAGATTTGATATTGTTACAGGAACATCAACGCTTGTTGCATGCCGGTGTGCAAACCGTTCTCGCAAATATTCGACTTCGTTTCTGGCCTATTAATGCCCGAAATAGGATCAAACAAATAATTAAAAATTGTGTTCGATGTTACCGGCATGATAATCGTAATATGCAGCAGATAATGGGAAATCTCCCAAAGGAAAGGGTGAACATATCCAGACCTTTTTTAACTACGGGGATAGATTATGCCGGTCCATTTACACTTCGAGTGAGTAAGGTACGGAAAGCACAACGAAGCAAAGCATACATCGCGTTATTTATTTGCTTTTGTACAAAAGCTATTCACTTAGAATTAGTAACTAGCTTGACTACTGAAGCTTTTATGGCGGCTTTGAAGCGGTTCATTTCGCGCAGGGGTAAATGCAACACAATTTATTCCGATAATGGCACAAATTTTATTGGAGCGCGCCATGAGTTGCATCAACTTTATAAGTTATTTAAAAATGATAAAAATAGATCAGAATTAGTAGATGCTGCATCTATCGAGGGGATAGCTTGGAAATTCAGTCCACCTCATGCTCCTCATTTTGGAGGTTTGTGGGAAAGCGCGGTTAAACTCGCAAAACATCACATTCGCAGAGTTATTGGGAGTTCTTGTCTAACCTACGAGGAATTTACTACCGTTTTAACTCAAATAGAGGCAGTTTTAAATTCTCGTCCAATCACTGGCGTCTATGAAAATCCATCTGAAACCACGTTTTTAACACCCGGACACTTTCTAATAGGCGACGCGTTAACTGCTTTTCCTGAACCAGCACTTGTAGATATAAATATTAACAGACTTTCAATATGGCAAAATCTAACTAGATTAAGAGATATGTTTTGGAAAAAATGGTCTATAGATTATTTAAGTTTGTTACAAAAACGATACAAATGGCAAATAGAAACACCTAATATTAAAATAAATGACGTAGTGTTATTAAAGGAGGATAACTTGCCACCTCTAAATTGGTTATTAGGGCGTATCACAAACGTAAATCCCGGTACTGATGGTAAAGTACGCGTAGTAACCGTAAAAACCAAAGCTGGAATTTATGTGCGGCCTATAACTAGAATATGTCCACTACCAAATGGAGATTTTAATTAATAATTTTACTTAATTATGTTATTTCTATTACTTTTATTAAATATGTTATTGTTAAATGCTTATCAATTATGTTAGTTAAAAAATCTAGGATTAAGATAGAACTTATTTAGCTTTATTTCAAAAAATATATATATTTTTCAATAGTATCAATACACCATGAAACTAACATTATATTAAGCTTGTTTAGGATATTTTTATACATATACACAATAACTATAGGAAATAATATGTAGAATAAATTTAATTTTTTCGGGGCGCAATATGGTCAGAATATATTCTGACGGCTAAACATTTTCAGTGCAGCGTGCCTTGGCACCGGGTATTGTGTTACAATTCTTAGAATTACGCAGCCTCTGGCCTGTGTCCTTCGCCCTTGTACATTTTTATACCTAAATACTTCCTGTATGAACACTGTACCCAGTAATTTTAAGTTAGTCTAGACAACGCAGCGGAACAGTCGACAAGTATATATTCAATCACCGCTGTATTTGTAATAGTTTGAAGATATTAATATAGATTTATACCGATCACAGTGGTTTTATTCAGTAATATTCAAATTTGGAACGGTTATCGTCAGATAACAATTATTTACTTACAGTCCGCTTTATTATTAATTACTGATGGTAGCCAGCCCAACCACATACACACACGTACAACATACATACATACACACACACACACACACATACACACACACACACACACATACATCCATTTTTTCTAAGGTATGCCAAAATGTTCAGAAACCTCTGAAACGTAAAGATATATAAAAATTTTCATTTTCGATTTTTTTGCGATTACTATAACTTGCCCTACGGGAAGTTAACAATTAATTTTAATTAGTAAAACAAAGAAATAATAGTTGATTTGTCAGTATTATGCCAAGTATTATGACTAGTATTATGTCAAAATCAGCACAACAGCTTATAGGACACCTAGTGGGTTCTGATTGCTGTTCAAAAATAATTAAAAAAACAATTAATTTTAATTAGTAAAACAAAGAAATAATAGTTGATCTGGATTGAATAACATTGAAAATGAATTTTCATTATTCATGCAACATTTTCACACATAAAGCGAGAATATATATATTTTTATGATAGTGAAAGAAAAGTGTGAAGAAATAGAAATAATATATTTTTATCAGCAAGAAGTCGCATTGATCTAAATTAATATACTCGTATACATTGATACAATCTTTCCGATACGTGTATACAAACAACTTAATCATTAAGAATTGAGATTCAGCTATTAGAAAAATATTCAACCTGCATATTTCAAAGATGAAATTTTCGATTTCATATAAAAATTATCGATACGATTTCAAATCTATGTCTTCCAATAATTACAACATTTGTAATTGTATACATTAAATTGAGTTGTATATCACATTTCATCCAATTCGTGTTCAAGAAATCTATTTCATATGAGTATGGACGTCAATTGTAATCAGTAGCTACCGCCAAAATACAAGTGTATGTTAGATACTAATTAGAATCGCTCAAGCACGCGGCGAAATTATAAACTACTAGTTGACCCGGCAAACGTTCTAAAAACTGCTAGAGAATCAAAAATATTAATACTTTAAGTGTATAAGGATGCGTTGTTTCAATGCTATATACAATGAGGTATTATAAACCCCATTAGTTTGTCTATATTACTTACATGTCTATTTACTTTTATTATGTATTTTCAAAGATTACCGTTGATCTCACGATAGCAAAGCCATAAGAGTCAAGGTTATAGCTGGTTATACATCTTTTTCACTCTACTTTCAAATATTGTTGTTAAACAATGCTTAACTTTACTGGTTTTTGACACATCAGGGTGGACCTTTTTAACCCTAGATATTTATATATTACTATCTATTCTTCGATAAATTCTGGGAAACTATAACTGGAAAATTTGTTCACCAAAATGTCCTTTTGATCGATACCAAATTTAGGTTCTGAATTTAAATAACATAAATAAAAAATAATATAACCTAGAAAATATTTTATAAATACCAATGAGTATATAATTATACATATGAGATCATTCAGAGCACCGAGTTTGAGAAAATGCCAAAAAGTGCATTTTCATACTAACATTTCAAAAAAGTTGATATTTTGAGTTTCTAGTAACACTTGCAGCCCATTTACTAACGTTTATGTAAATAGACATTGTAAATAAAACTACAAACAAAACTGCTTATTACAATTTATTCATAATTAAATAATATTATCACGTATCTAATAAATAATATTCGTAAATAATATTCAACATCCTATTAAATGTAATTGAACATCATCTGTCAAAAACGTTTGACATTTCACGTATTAGCCACCGTCCATTGTTTTATTCAAATTACGCTGCTACAAAAATTTTCAAATTAAAAATGCAAAGTTTCTACGCGGTTTTGAAATATTATCTCACCTTTCCGGCCAAATCGGTTTAGCCATTTTCGAGTTTTACGGGATCATTTGATCGAGAGCTCCATTTTTATATATAAGAAGATAAGAAGATGATGAATATTTATAAGTTCATCTGCATATCGTAGGCCTATATTAAAAATTTTATCGTCTACACTAAAAAATTGTTTTCAACATTTAATCACGAATAAACGTCCCGGATGATATTTACCAAAAACCAATCAACTAGATTCACAACCAATATATTTCGAAGTTTTTGAATTTTTGAAATCGAGTCACGATTGTAGCTTCAAACTTATCGAGATATATTGAATGACTTTCAAATTTTACAAGTAGGTGTAGCCGTTTTTGAGAAAACTTCGTTGAGAGATCACAAGTCAGCTCACAAACACACATACACACACATACATTTTCAAATTCAGAATGACTTAAAACGTCGAGAAAATATAAAATTAGCAATTTGGGTTTTCTCGCGAAAACATGAACTTCTCTTTCGAGGAGTCAAAAATAATGAAAGCTAACTTAATCTTATTTTGAAAAACGAACGGAAAAATCAGCTTATGCCTCAGTAACTATTCAATTCATTACAATAACAAGTACGAAGTATTTCTAAGCTGAAAATTATTCTAAGCTGAAATGACTTAATTTGCGTATATAGCGTAGAGCAGGTAAAAAGATTCACCAACAATGTGTCAATAAAGGTTAAGAATTTTTTGATAATATTTGAAAGTAGAGGAAAAATATTTAAACCTTGATTGGCTTGCTACGGCAAGGTAAACGGCAATGTTTGAAAATCCTTAACAAAATATTTTTTTGTTGTTATTTATTTTGGTTGCTTAATTGAAGAAATCTTAATATAATTTTCAAGTATACGTTATTTAATTATTTTACAAGTTGTGTTGTTAATTATAAGTTAGATTGAATATAACCTTTATAAAAGCTTACACGTGGTTGGGGTGATGAACATTTACCCTGGGAAAGGTGTAAGCAATAAAAAATTGGAAAAAAATTAATTATGTTAAATAAAAGCATTTTCACAATAAATTAATTAAATATATAGTTATTCCAACTCTGCTGATAAATATTTCTAACAAAGACCAGATCAAGAT